AGCTATTTTTCTCTCTAACTCTTAGGGTGGGTAAAAGACCATTTTACCCCCATGGTCCTCATAATCCCTGTCTTGACCAAACCCTAAAGTCAACAAAAGTTAACACTCGAGTCAACAGTCCATGTTGACCCGACTCGTCGAGTGCATCTATGTGACTCATCGAGTCCCCTCATTCCTTCAAAAATGTCGCGAAAATCCAACTTAACTCGTCGAGTTGTCTCATCAACTCGCCAAGTTACTTACATCTAGACTCGTCGGGGAAAACCCTGACCGACTTGTAGAGTTGGCTCATCAACTCATCGAGTCCCTTAAGTTTATTTTCTCATTCAAATGTTTTAAGGTAGAGTTACAACCCTAAACTCTAGATCTAGCCTCCTAAGGCTGAGATATCACGTAAAGCTACAAGTTTTACGTCCATGCATGACACTTAGGGCTTGAAATGCCAAAACAAGTGTAACACCTTGTTTATTTAATAAATGAGTAAATAAATTGATGATAGTATAATAGCCCTAAAATCAATTATTATATAGCAAGGTGTGGGTTTCTAGGAGTAAATTGGCATAATATAGAAGTCGAGGGTTAAAAGTGCAAGTTCCAAATTAGTTTTGTAAGTATTTATGAAGGTAGAGACCAAATGGTAATTTATGTGACTTCTTTTGAAAAGGATTTCGGAGGTCAGGGTGTGTTTGGTAATTAATGGACTTCAATTGAAAGAAATTTATGGGATTAGGGTTTAAAAGGTAAGTTTTGGATTCAGTTTGTCAAGATTTCTGGAAGCAGGGTCAGTTTGGTATGTTTTGGATGTAATCTGAAACGATTACATGGGGAGGGACCAGAAATGTAATTATGGGAAAGTAGTTATTTTGGACGGGTATATAATTTCATATCGGCCAACCCTAACCCTAAACCCTTCCTTATGATGCAACCGTCACCCACCTCCCTCCCACCGCTACCCTATCACCACCCTATCTCCTAGCTTCTCCGACCAACCAAGTCACCGACGAAACCGCCCCTTGCTGCTATTTCCATTGCCGAAAAATGTAGCAACCATGGTTCTGGCGTGCGAGTATGGAATATCGGAGCTCAAGTCGACCGCCGCCTCTTTCTTCGTCGTTTTCCGATCGCGCAAGTAAGGCGACCGCCATTGTTTCATCACCTCTCTGTGTTTCCTTCTGGTTCCGCCTTCTTCTACCAGCCGCCGCTTCTATTTCCTCCTACCGTCGCTATTGTGTATTGACATCACCAGCCGCCGTGGTGGTGGCTATGAGTTGGGTGGGTGTGCGATTTTACTTCTAATGGATGTTTTGTGTGTGTTTATTTTAGTGAAACAAAATAGGTGTTTGGCCGGAATTCCCAAGAACAACCACCGCCGCCATGAGCCACCGCCGACCATCGCTAGGGTAGTTGTGTGTGTGTTAGTTAGTGTGTGTGTGTAATTTTGGATTAAAGCCTTGTAAGTGTAATTGTAATTAGCAATAATAACAAAAATAATAGTAACCACTACCGTAATGTGGTGGCCGCCACCGTGAGCTGCCATTGACCACCACTACCCGAGGTGGTAGTGGATGGTGCCCCATAAGCAAAACCCTAATAGACCTAGCCAAAAACCTAATGGGCTTAAAGATTAATTTTGGGCCTATTGGGCCATGTCTGGGTGGAAAATCCTAATTGTGAGTATTTGGGCCTTGGACTTATTTGGACCCACTTTTGAGCCATTGGGATTGGATTGTGTATTAAGCCCAAATTATTCCATATCATTTATCTAGTAGAGTAAATGAATTAATAAATTAAGTCCTTAATGGGTTAAGTGAGAAACACTTAACCCTAATTATCATTTTATGTGAAACCCTAATTTCACTTGGACTTTGAGTTGGGCCTTTCTTTAGGGTTTGACGATTAGGATGATAATGGGCTATCCAAGAACAAGCAGTTGGACTTAGAATAATTTAATTGTCCTAGAGTAAGACCCATGTGAGGGTTTGGGACCAATTTGGAAAATTAGGCCATAGTCTGGGCCTTAATGATTATGAGATGTTGGACTATGAGAATGTCAAGTGTTGGACCAAGAATGAATGATTGTGCCTTTGATCAAGACCATGTAGAGACTTGGGCCCAATTGGGAAAATTGGGCCATAGATGGGCCATAGTTGAGCCTTGGTCTATTATTAGACTTTTGGGCCTTGGGCTTGAGTCAAGCTAAGATAGGGGTAAATTGGTCTTTTACCCCAAGTATGGACTTATGGGTATATGTGTTGGGACCCAATTATTAATTGGGTGTTATTTTGATATTGACAGATCGGGAATCTGTCATCCAGCAACTATGGTTTTGTCAATAGGACTTCAACAGTGTGAGGTGAGTTTTCCTCCAGTAGGAATGGGTCTAAGGCACCAATGTCGACCCGTTTAAGTAGTAGAGTATGATGGGGTTAGCCTGATGCAGTTTATATGTTTCCAGACTTTGGTCCGATGCCGGGGCGGTCTTGAGAAGTAGTTATGTATGCTCGATGTCTTTATGATTCATGCATGTTTATGTGTTATGTGTTCCGAACTCCGGTTCGATGTCGAGCAAGCCCGATGCAGTAGATGTGAATATACTATATGTTATGTGTTCTGGGGTAAGCCCAATGTCGGGGAAAGCCCGATGTGTGTTAGTCAATATGCCATGTATTATGTATTCGGGGCAAGCCCGATGTATGCTAGTTTATATGTTATATGTTTCGGACTTTGGTCCGATGTCGGGGTAAGCCCGATGCAGATTATGTGATCATGTTATTTGTTCCGGACTTCGGTCCGATGTTGAGGCAAGCCCGATGCAGTTTACGTGATTATGTTATGTGTTTATGATATATGTTATGCTATGTATGTGCCGGGGTAAGCCCGATGCCGGGGTGAGCCCGATGCCCGATGCGGTCGGATGCCAGGGTGAGCTCGATGCCGGGATTCGTCCCGATGCAGTTAGAAAGAGTCCCAGAGTTATGTGATTTTGTTATATGTGCTTTGTATGGTATGTGGTAGTTTGAGGGAGCTCACTAAGCTTTGTGCTTACAGTTTTAGTATTGGTTTCAGGTACTTCAGGTTTCAAGAGAGGAGCTCGGGAAGGTTGTAGTGCACACACCATTTGTTCAGCCTGGGATGTTTATACTCTGATATACATGACAATTGTTATAGTATTCTAAGATACATTGTTTATGATTTCTCTATGACGTATGATGTTTATGGTTTTTATTATTAAATTAAAACGAAATTTTTGGCTTGTATTTTTGGGATGTTACAACAAGTTCCATTTAGAGTCCTAACCATAAAAGCTCTCCTCTAGCTTGATAAAGCTTGGACCTTTGGGCTTAAGGGACCTCACAAGGTCTAGATTTGAAGTCTCAATCTCTTGGCAAGATCAAAATGCTCAAAGTTCTCAAGGAAAGATGGAAAAAGCCCTAAAACTCCTTAAACACGAGATCTAATCAAAATAATGAGTAAGGTGGTGACTTTTACCTTCAAACAGAAGCTAAGGATGGATAAACACTGGATCCAACAATCCCTTCTCGTTCCAAGCCTTGATACTCTTCTCCCCTCTTCTTGAAATGCATTAGAATGCTCAAAGGTAACTCCTCTTTCTCTCTTAGACCACTTTAAACGATCAGGGTTTCACACAGGGAGTAAGGTGACACGTGAGATGGAAATGAGGGCTTAAGGTTCTTTAAATAGGGCATAACCCCGTAAAATTAGGGTTTCCTCTCACAGTGCCAACTCGTCGAGTTGGTCCCTCCAACTCGTCGAACGACCAACTCGACGAGTTGGTCGTAATACCCACGTGGCCAAATCCGTCTCTACTCGATGAGTTGGGGCCTCCAACTCGTTGTGTTGCTCAATCAAAAGCATAAAAATTATATAAGTATTATACCTGTGAGTCGGGATGTTACACACATTGTAAATCTACATTATAAATCATTAATTTTGTATAAATTTATTGTATGAATTTGCACAAATTCACAGTCCAATATGCACATATTTCACAACACAAGATTCAATAAGTGAATCTACATAGATTCACAATGTGAATTTAAACAAATTTCACAATGTAAATCCGAACAAATCAATTTTTTTTTCAAATTTGATATCAATAAATGGAGGATAAAAAGTTATAAATTTCTATATTTTTCTAGTTTTTATTTTTTTATGAAAAAAATACGTCATTATATATATATATATATATATATATATATATATATATATATATATATATATATATATATATATATATATATATATAATTAGTAAATATTTTTATTTTCGCTTTTACTCTGCTGCTCCTTGTACCTCAAATCTCTAACTTTCTCTCTCTTCTCTTCTCTGTTTTCTGTATCTATCTCTCTTCGCCTCTTTCTTAGACCTAAAATCAGCTTCCGACATCGTCATTCAACAACTTCTATTCTTTGCTCTCAGGTTCTTCTATTTCTCGTACCATCATTCGATCCGTCAAACTTTTCAATCTGTCTCTCTTGTTAATTTAGATTATCATCTGGATTTGCTGTTATTAGGGTTTGGTTTTTATTTGATGGCTTTGCATGTTAATGATCCTTTCTTTTCTTTTCTATTTATATATGAATTCGGATTACAAGTCAATCGGACTTACATGGGATTTACAGAATAGGGGTTTTGCAAATTGCGGTATAAATATAATATTTATAGATACATATCTCCATCCGTTAGTGTTATCTGCTCGTGTCTTTAATTTACTTCTTCTCATCAGTCTGATTGTTATGCTATTTTTCGAAGGATATGATTTTAGGGTTTATTCAAGATTTTATGAAACTTCCTGATAGAATTCCTTTCATCGAATCAAAATCTATGATATTAGCGATTGTTTTGATGTTTCCAATCTTTATATCAGTGTTGTAACCCACTACAGGGACTAGTGTTCTGATTGCTGAGTTTGATTATGTGTTTGCGTTTGTGATTTTAGGGAAATTTCGTGAAGGGTTTAGGGTGTTGTGAGTGGTTAAATGGCGGGGAGTTCAAGTGAGGAGTCTGGTGTTAGCAGATCATTAGAGGGATTATCAAATGGGCAGCAGCGTTCTGGTGAAGCATTGGCTGAATGGCGCTCTTCTGAGCAAGTTGAGAATGGAATCACTTCAACTTCACCTCCCTACTGGGATACAGATGATGATGATGATTGTGGTATGCTTCTTTTTTTCTCCTTTTTATCTCAAATTTCCAGTAATAATATCTTTTTGGTAACTCTTTCTTTGAGGCATACCAATTGTTAGAACTCATACTTAAGTTGTGAGAATACAATCTGAAAGATACATGGATTCATGTCATTAGTTTGCAGCAAGGTGAACTTAAGATAAATCATAAATCCACTTATGTTCATGTTCATTATAGGTAACCTATTAAATTTCTTCTCTTCCTGTTAATGTAACTCACTTGAAACATGATACCTATTGCAAGATCAACATGTAACATAAAATAGTTAATAGTCAGTAACCAAGTTTCACAAATTTTCCATTGTTTAGATATTTTCTTGTAATGATGTTAATACTTGTTTGTTTTAATAAGTTTTGTATTGACAAACAGGACCAAAACCTTCTGAGTTATATGGAAAGTATACATGGAAAATAGACAAGTTCTCACAGATTAACAAGAGAGAGCTTCGAAGCAATGCATTTGAAGTTGGTGGCTATAAATGGTATGTGTTATTTTTTTATACTTTTTGTTTTTTTTATTCTTTTTCATATCTTTTTATAAGATTCTTGATATTGGCTTTAGGTATATCTTGATCTACCCTCAGGGGTGTGATGTTTGCAATCATCTGTCTTTATTTCTTTGTGTTGCAAATCATGACAAGCTTCTTCCAGGTATGGTTGAACAACATTTCTTTCAATTTCAATTTGCTTAGATTAATGAGAAAAGAAATCAAAGTAGGATTCTTTAATAAACAAATCAATGACAACTTTTTTATTTTTTTTAACAGGATGGAGTCATTTTGCACAATTCACAATAGCTGTGGTGAATAAAGACCCCAAGAAATCAAAATATTCTGGTTGGTTTTTATTTTTTTATTTTTTTTGGGAATATGTATTAAAAAAAGCAAGGTTGTAATTGTCTAAACATACATTTTCAGACACGTTACATCGCTTCTGGAAGAAAGAGCATGATTGGGGATGGAAAAAATTTATGGAATTATCAAAAGTTTTAGATGGATTTGTTGATGCTGACACTCTCATAATAAAAGCTCAAGTCCAAGTTATAAGGTTTTTACCTTTTTTTTTTTTTTTTTAAAGATTTTTTGTGTTGAGAATTATGGGGTATCATATATAATTTATGGACTATGGTTTTTTTTGGCTTATGATAGCAAATGCTAACATGTGCCACTGGTTTTGAAGGGAGAGAGCAGATCGTCCATTCAGATGCCTTGATTGTCAATATAGGAGAGAACTTGTGAGGGTATATTTGTCAAATGTAGAGCAAATATGTCGCCGATTTGTTGAAGAGAGAAGAGGAAGACTTGGAAAGCTGATAGAAGATAAAAATAGATGGGCAAGGTATGTAATTTTTCTGTTTTATTTAATGGACTTTTTGACTTAATGCAAAAAGAATCATTTAAAAGAGAAAGTCAAGGAAATCAGGCTTTTTTTTATTAAGTCCTAACTTTTTTCTTACGTTTTTGCCCTTGTTTTTTTCTTCAAAAGTATTTTAAAACTTACTTCATAGACAACATTCAATGAGAAAAATAAGAAACACTGTATATAGATGTTTGTTCTTGACTTAATGCAAAAAGAACAAATTGATGGAGAAAGTCAAGGAAACAAGGCTTTTCCACTTTCCACATTAAGTCAATAACTTTTTACAAATTTTATTTTTCTTTCATTTCCTTAATTGTGCAATTGTTTTCTCACATATCTTTGAAACATCATTTATCCACACATCCCTTGAAAAAAAGACACAAAGAACGAATTAATAAAGAAAGTTAACTTTTTTTTTTTTCACCAAGTCCCAACGTATTACAAATTTACAAATGTGCCCTTAAGCGTGCCATCATTTTCTTAAATTTTTTTTTTCAACATGATTTAACCAGACAATACTTAATGAGAAAATAAGGAAACATGGCCTATATATAAGGTACTTTACTACATTTTGCCTCTTCTATAGAAAGAGTTCTTGATATTATTTCTATTTTCCTTTTTTTTTTTTTTTTTTTTGGTTTTCAGCTTCTGTGGATTCTGGTCTGGAATTGATCAAAATTCAAGGCGCCGAATGTCAAGGGAAAAGTCAGATTCAATATTAAAAGTTGTTGTAAAACACTTCTTTATAGAAAAAGAAGTCACATCAACATTGGTAATGGACTCATTATACAGTGGATTAAAGGCTCTTGAAGGTCAAAGTCAAAGTCAAATCCAAAGTCAAAGTCAAACCAAGAACAAGAAGGCCAAAGGGCAACAATCTGATGCAGAAGAACCACCCATACCCGTTGTCCGGATGGAAAATGACACTTTTATCCTTGTTGATGATGTGTTGCTTTTGCTTGAAAGAGCAGCCTTGGAACCATTGCCTCCAAAAGATGAAAAAGGACCTCAAAATCGTACTAAGGTCAGAGCATATTCCACTAAAATCTTATTTACTTATCATTTTTCTTTTTTCATTTTGTAGAAAACTTGCTAATAGTTCATATATATTCTAGATCAAATCACAAATTTAGTCCCTATGTTTTACCCAAGCTCTCAACTTCAGTCCAAATTTTCAAAATTCTCTCAATAGTCCTTAAGTTTTGTATTTTATTGTTTATATAGTCCCTGTGCTTTACTCAAAATCACAACTTCAGTCCATAATTTCAAGTCATTTTATTATTTTATATGGTTGATGGACTATATTTGAAAACTTTGAAAATTTGGACTTGAGTTGTGATTTTGGGTAAGTAAAAGGACCAAATTTGTAATTTACATTTTTTGTGGTGGCAGGATGGTGGATCAGGGGAGGATTTCAGCAAGGATTCTATTGAGCGCGATGAAAGGCGTCTCACTGAATTGGGAAGAAGGACTATTGAAATATTTGTGTTAGCTCACATTTTCAGGTAATATAAATACAATACTCTACAAAAAATAGCCTTTTTTTTTTTTTTACTTATTTTAATTTTTTAATTTTGGTATTTGTTACAGCAGTAAAATAGAAGTTGCATACCAAGAGGCTGTTGCTTTGAAAAGGCAAGAAGAGCTCATTCGTGAAGAAGAGGAAGCATGGATGGCTGAAAGTGAACAGAAAGCAAAACGTGGTGCATCTGAAAAGGAAAAGAAATCAAAGAAAAAACAGGTTTGTTATTTGTTATTTCTTATATTATAACTACGGAATGGAATCGTGAATTCCGAACACCACACGCACACACTATAACTTCCTTAATTTTTTTGAATTTAGGCGAAGCAGAAAAGAAACAACCGGAAATCGAAAGAAAAAGGGCGCGATGAAAAAGCGAAACCTCAACAACAACAAATCATGGTTGAAGATGCCGAGTTGCTAAAGAAACCGGATACACTGGAAGACGTTTCCGATGTTGATGTTGATGTTGATGTTTCTGATTCCGCCGATTGTGTGACCGAAGCCCTTCTTCGTCCCGATTCCGATGATCGCGATTCCAGCCCCGTGAACTGGGATACGGACACCTCGGAACCGCATCCGCCCACAGAAGCTTGTAGCAGCGGGATAATTATTGCACAAAACGGGGACAGAAAGAGTAATTCCGTCATGGATGATAGTTCATCAACATGTTCCACAGATTCACTCCCTTCAGTGGTCATCGCCAGGTCATCATTTTTTGGATTTTCAAAATTTTTTTTACTCAATTTTTTTTAAGGGCTTTTGCATAACGTGTGGTGTTGGTTAATAATTATTTAGAGGGAAAATGAAGCGGGGAAAGGCTACCGGTGAAGTGATAACACGAGTCAACCATATGACGAAACCGCCCTTGGATGTTGGCTCCGAGTCGACTCAGCCGAGTGGTGAACCGGATTGCGATGTCGGTGCACTCTCGTTGCAGGATAAGATGAAGTGGCTCGAACCGGATGTCGTCAAGAAAGTGGTATGGTACTTTTTATATAAGCATCACCTGGAGGGTATTTACGTCTTTTTGTAGAAAACCCACCTTTTTGTTTTGTCTCATCCAGAATAGTTTTCACCTTTCTGGATGGGACAAAAAGTTGAAATTTGTGTTTCATTGACACAGATGTCAATGGAACACTAAACACAGAACCAGTCTGTGTTGACATGACACATGACATGACATGACAAATCTTGTGTTTTTTTTTTTTTTTTTTTTTTTTTTACAATAGGAAGAAGTTGTTCCACTACAGAAAAAGCTAAACATAAAGGATGATTTTGACCCCGAGAGACATCCAAAGGAAAAGACGACAATTACCCCATCTTCACCAAAAAGCCCTTCGAAACCCTCACCACGTGCCCTTCAAAAATCCGACCTCAAAAGAAATCTCCAAAACACCGAAAAACCAATGGTCCATAATACCCCCACCCAAAAACCAACCGAAAAGCCTTCTTTGATGGTGCACCAAGGACCCACCCCGGCTCACAAATCCATAAACGGTCCCGCCATATCAAAGCCGGTCCCACCCATGTCAAGACCATTGAGTGCACCTTTAGTCGAAGTCTCCAGACCCACCACAACCACCATGGCTACTACACCCGTTATTCCCATGGTCCAAACCACACCGTTACTATCACGCTCTGCAAGTGCAGCCGGATACCTCGGACCCGGATCCGACCCGTCACCCATGGGTCAAACCTACATCCCGTCATCTTACCGAAACGCGATGATGGGAAGCCCGGTTTCCGCCACCTCATCCGCGTTTCCAAAACCAGGAGTAGGGGTAAACTCGTCATTTTCACAACCCATGTTTTTACCTCAAGAAACCGTTAGACCGAGCTTCTCTTTCGGGATGATGAGCCAACTTTCAAACGGGCCCCAGTGGGACCCGAACATTGACATTTACAACAACAAATCGGTTCCCGTTCCCGTTCACGTCCACACAACACAAGGAATGTTGGCCGATGAATTCCCGCACCTCGATATAATCAATGACTTGCTTGATGATGAGTACACTATACCCGTGGGCCCTAGCCCGTCGTTTAACGGGCCCCGACATCTGAGTCATCAGTACAGTTTTCCCGGGGAAATGGGCGGGTCGACGCTCGACCCGGGCCCGTCAACGAGCTCGTGTAGGTTCGAGCGGACACGGAGTTACCATGAAGAGTTCCAACACGGGTACAATGGTGGTGGCCCGTTTGAGTTCACGAGGGATATGGTTCCGGCCCAACCGGGTTTGCAGTATGTGAATGGGTCGGGTCAGGGTCAAGGTCAAGGTCAGGGTCAGGGTCAGAATCAGTGGCGGGTTGGCGGGTCGGATCTTTTATACGGGTTGAGAAATATGGATGGTGAAGGGTATGGGTATCAGATGGGTCCACCGGATTATTCGATGGGTGTTAACGGGTATAATGTTTACCGACCCAATGGGCAGTGACTCGGTGACTCAGTGAGTGAGTGAGTGGGTTGAGTGAGAATTGGTTATTATTATTTGGGTGTAATAATAATAACGTATGTGAAGGAAAAAAATGGTGTTTGGGTTCTTTTTTTTTTTTTTTTTTTTTAGATTTGGAGTGAGGTTGTATAACCCTTTGATAAGATAACTCTTTTTTTTATTTTTATTTTGAAAGAGTGAATTCTGTTAATTTAATCTTTGGTTATTTTTTTAGAAGTGGTTTTTTTGTTTGTTTATCCATGGATTTGGAATTGAAATATGCATTGTTTATTAGATTCACGATTTTATGTTAAGAATAGTTATATAATTTTAAATCTATCGTCGTTTTGTGTCTATTTTTATCTGCTGTTCTTTTTATTATTATGACATGACCATAAAGAATCAGAAAAATCATATTTAGTCTTCTCAAGCATATAAAAAAGGGATCATTATTACACATTCATAGAAATCGTTTGAAGTAGAACATCATGAATAAGGCAAAAACACAAGGATAGGAACTATAATTTTAATTTGACTTCTAGAGAACGTGTTTTCATTTGATTTAAGTCTATTCTAGATGATTTGTTTGATTAATGGATAACTTTGGCAATATTATAAAACAAAATTATTACCAAATGTAATTTTCATCAAATATGACGTTGATTGATTTTCAACAGTAACAAGAATGCATCTCTTTTTAGGTGAGCAAATGAGTATGGAAGCTGTCAACCTTGGTAGCAAGAGATCCAATTGTGTAATACATTTGGGTGGAAAGTGCCTCTATTTCAAAGATGAAGTTTAGTTGATGAAAGAATCTCTTCATATGTAGGAGTAAAACCATCCTAGACATGAGGTTTTTAATCCGAATTGGTGAAGTGGGGAAAGGAAACTACTAGAAACCATAGCAACTTGGGTTCATTGGCAATGACAGTTGTGACTTGTATTTTTCTTTTTGATGATTTATACCAAAAGCATCGACATTCTGTGTAACGTGTGAGAGATATATAGGGGAGCGTATACATAATTTATGGTTAGCCTTGGATATGGGAAGCTTTACTAAGGTGCTGTTTGTTTTTTAAAAAAAAACCTCTTCTAACCATTTATTTCTACGCCGCGTAACACTTGACTCTTTGCAACTGTTTGTTTTTCAGAAGACTTTTGACTTGAAAATTGCTGCGCGTGTGTTGCGTGACCAACACTTAACCATCTGCTTCAAACCTTACTTTAACTTATTGCAACAGTCTGTAGAAGTTAAAAAACAAACTAACTTTTTATTACATGCTGCAGCCGTTTGGTCCTCCTCTTCTGCTGCAGAGGGTTGCAGAGGTGGTCCGCAGACTTCAAATATTTTTGTTTCGAAAAAACAAGACACCTAAGAATGAAAAAGTCACAATGAGCTATGGATGTGGTTTCCTGAAATACAACATTATCCATTGAGAAAAGACAATTAGGGAATAAGCTTAATGGGTCTTATTGTAGTGTGACATGGGGCTAGGAAATCATATTTGTGAGTGTTGGAGATAAGTCCATTGATACAACATAGATAAGCTCATTGATACAACATAAATAATAAAGCATGATCATATTGGATCGTACACAAAGTTCAACCTTCATTCAAGAATTATTTCATGAGAGTATTTTGTTAAACATCATTCTTGGTGAGTACGTTAACTAGAAACTAAATAAAACGGAGGGAATATTTTGGATGTAACGACGTAATTTTTCTAAAATAAATTTTTATTTTTCAACACAATAAAACTCATATAATATTCTCAAATCTCATGTTATCAAATGTCATCACAAATAAAAATATTATAGAATCTCAAAAACATAATCGTCTACCAGTGTGTATAAATCATGACGGCGCCTTCCCCGATCCTTGCTAGTACCTGAAACATATAACAGATAACACGGTAAACATAAATGCTTAGTGAGTTCCCCAAAATACCACATGCAACACATTAGTCACTCGAGGCTATAACTCGGTATGACCCTCCGGTCGATGTGTCTCAGCGGGACCCTCCAGTCCCGTAGCTCGTTGGACCCTCCGGTCCGGTTTGTATCGTTGGACCCTCCGGTTTGGTCTATATCGTTGGTCCTTCTGGTCCGGTCTGTATCATTGGACCCTCCGGTCCGGTCTATATCGTTGGACCTTCCGGTCCAGTCTATATAACACATAACATATATATAACGCAATGCACATAAATCTCAAACATACATATACACATAAGACCCTCCGGTCTACACATAGATAACACTCTTGGTAATGTATAGTGAGAAGACTCACCTCGGCTAATATCGAAAAGTCTCGAACTCGAAATACTGATCTAGCCTCCGCCTAATCACATAAAATAATTCACCTCTAATTAACAATGATTCTCAAAGGCTAGTCTAATCCCTTCCTATAGTCTCTCAGAAGGGGAAAAGACCATTTTACCCTTCCAATGGTCAGAATGTCCAATTGTTGACCAAACCCTAAAAGTCAACAAAAGTCAACTCTAGTCAACGATTTCGCCTTGACCAGACTCGTTGAGTGCACTTGAGTGACTCGGCGAGTCCATACGTGTCTTCTGAATCATCCTAAGGCCTTACTCGGCTCGTCGAGTTAACCTTTCACTCGACGGGTTACCACTGATCACAAATCGCGGGGCAACCCGATCCGACTCGTCGAGTCCTCTTATGGGCTCGACGAGTTTCCCCCATGACAACACTCATTTGACCTTCTGAGGTCAGATCTGATTCTCTAACCTATAGATCTGACCTTCTAACACCCAAAAGTCACGTAAAGGTTCAATCTTTATGTCTATGCACCACACATCAAGCTCCATTTGAAGAAATAACTCTTAAAATAACAATCTAGGCTCAAAACTCCAATGGGACTGCATAAAGTTGGATGCTTGGGACTCTCTGGACCTAAAAGGGTCCAGATCTATAACACAAACTTGCAAGAGGGGTTTGAGGCATCCAAAACCCCAAAAAGAAATGATTCAAGCTCTAACCCCAAAGAATGAAATCTATACAATAGAGAAAAAGAGGGGTCCGATTTGGTACCTCAAAATGAAGCTCCTTGCTTGACTAACTCAAAACAACAATCTCCTTTGATCCTTCTTGCTGGAGCTCTTCTATTCTCTTGCAAAATCACACCAAATAGCTCAAGATGGCTCTTTCTCTCACTCTACACGCTCAAGCTCGTTACGATTTTCTCTTCTGGAGTGGTAGCCGCAAATGAAGGCCATAAGTGCCTTTAAATAGGGCTCAGGCCCAAAGATTTAGGGTTTCTGTCCACAACACGGACTCGTCGAGTCCATCCATTAATCCGAGTCATCAGTCGCGATCCTACTCGATGAGTTTAGGTGCCAACTCTTCGAGTGCCCCTTCATAACTCAAAATAAATACATCAATTATGATACCTGGAAATCCTGATGTTAAAATTCTCCTCCACAAGAATTAGACTTCGCCGTCGAAGTCTTAATCTGCAAACAACTCCGGGTGCTGCTCCCGCATCTCCGTCTCCGGTTCCCAAGTCAACTCGGACCCTCTCCGACGCTGCCACTGGACCTGAACCAGGGGTACCTCTTTGTTCCTCAAAACCTTGATCTTCCAAACCAATATCGCGACCAGTCTCTCAATGTAATTCAGACTCACATCCACTTGAATATCCTCTAGCAGCACTACCTCCGTCTCATCGACTATACACTTCCTCAACTGGGATACGTGGAAGGTATAATGGATCTGACCCAACTCTTCGGGTAACTCTAAACAGTATGCTATCTTGCCCACTCTGGCGATTACGCTGAAAGGACCAATATATCAAGGCACCAACTTGACCCTCTTCTTGAATCGGATCACTCCTTTCCAAGGAGAAACCTTCAGGAGTACAAAGTCTCCAATCTGAAACTCGAGCTCGAATCACCGCCTATCCGCATAACTCTTCTGGCTGCTCTGCACTGTCAGTAACCTCTGTTTGACATGTTGTATCTGCTCAGTTGTCTTAAGCACTATCTCAATGCTACCCATCACTCGCCGTCCTAACTCTCCCCAATAGTTGGGAGTCCAAAACCTTCACCTTAACACCCCCAACAAGCCAACACACCACACCTCTACCTTCCTAATCTCACTCCCAAGCCTACCCCCACCCACCCATTCACACATACATACACACACACACCCACAAACAAACACACACACACACACCAACCTCCACAAACACACAAACACACACACACACACACACCTACAAACACACAAATTCTCATGAGGGACCAGCAAGCTTTGCTAAGGAGATGATGAGATCGATATGGTGATAAGAGACCAACAAATTTGGTGATAAGAGACCAATAAATTCTCATGAGGGACCAACAAGCTTTGCTAAGGAATCATCAAGCATCGATACAAAACATCAAAGCTCAACTTGGACAATTAACTACATTGGTTAATGAGCGACTCTCTCCACAAATTCCCGATAAAAAGCCACAACCACATGTTATGGTCATCGATATTGAAGAAGATACTATCTATGAGTTCCTAGAAGCCCTAGAAGTAAAGCCACATCAGCCCGAACCACAGCTGAAGAAGTTGAAGATCGAAGAAAAAATGGTTGCTGAACCATCGAACTCACATCGTGAGGATCCCATTTTCACAATGTGAGGCCAGTGTGAACAAAATAATTTGGCTGATATTGAAGCTTATCATCCTCCGCTGCTGTTTCGTTCTTGAGCTAAGATTCAACCACTAGAGCAAGAACATTTAAAGTTCATGAAGCAAGTCAAGGGTATCCCTATAAAGTTCTTGAGCTAAGTATAAATACTCCTTTTATTGAATCGTTAGCACAAGTATCAGAGTATAATCCCAAGATCACAAAGTTGCAAAAAAACATGGGTGTATGCGTTGCGATCATGTCAGGTCCTTCCCTTCTGAACCAAAAGTACCTAAAACCATAAACAAAAAACCTTAAGCACAAAAGCTTAGTGACTTCCCCAAAATACCGTTGGAATAGTGTCTAA